TGGTGTTCATGTTGACATCATTATTGTTGAAGAAGGCGACGCCATCTCGACATGCGACTCCTGTAGACGTTAGTATTGATCTTCCTCTTCTGTTTAAACGTGTGCAGCTATTGTCTGTCTATTAAAACGGTGGTTTATTTCTCTGTTCCCTGTGGCCTCAGATATAATATTATGTCTGTCAGTTCATATGAATGCAGTGGCATCGGTAGTCCAGTTGTTAGTCTACCGGGCTCGTGATTGTGAGTTTGCAGGTTCAGGGGCTCGAGCCTCAGCTCGGTCCGACATTGTGTCCTCGGGAAAGGCACTTTACACGAATTTCCCATTTGGCTTTGTACTTTCGGAGATGGACGTTAAGCTCGGAGGCCCCGCCTCTTAAATAATCTAATAGTGTTAAAAGGGCGCTAAACCTTTACCACTTCACTTCACCTCCTCATATGAATGCCCATTCATAATATATCTGCCCGCTCTTATGTCTGTCCGAATATATATCTGTCCGCCCATATGTCTGTTCGTTAATTTGTCTATGTGTGAATATTATCTATGAATGGGTGCTTCATGACGTGTATCTGTAGCCTATACCTAATGGGAGGACAGTCAAATAATCGGACCGCAAGCCTAAACAAGCATTTATCTTTTTGCTGATCTGTATTTTCTGTCTGTTCGTCCAACAGTCCGTTTCATCAGTCCGTGTGAGCACTTACCTGTGGCAGGATGGTCAGTCTTGACCGGAGGTCGTGCAGGCCGATCTCAGCGACGTCGATGCCGTCCACGTAGATGTTCCCGCCGGCGGCTTCCATCAGCCGGAACAGCGACAGCGACAAGGAAGACTTGCCCGCCCCTGTCCGCCCCACCACGCCCACCTGTGGACAGACACCAGATGCATTGCTTCCTTAGAATAATAAGTTCTATCAGACATTTTCGGACGTTTTGAGTTAACAAGACCATGAGGTCAGAAACCAAATGATCTATCTACTCTATCAAAATTGTAAGATTGTTAGGAGTCATTAAAGTTATCAAGATATTCAGTGCTCATATGACCTTATGCAGTTGCGAAAGCCGTAAAGTCCTTACTAAAACGAAACAAGATATTTTAAAAAATGCATTCGAAAAAGTATGACATGTCATGAAAATCCAAATTTTTTAACGTCAAATTTCTCAAAAGTAGGTAGGATTTTTGTAATTTTAGGGTAGCAACATACATGTGCGTTTGAATAAAGGGATATACATCGGCATGATAAAGGTCATTTAGAGCAAGGGAAGAGCAAGACAGAGTTTGAGTTAAGAGAAGGGCATCCATACGATAGAGGTAATTAAGTGTTGAGGAAATTCAAGGCAGATCGAGTTTGAGTTTTGAGTAAAGCGACGTGAGATGTACATTGATATGATGGCCGTAATTTAGTGCAGGGAAAAGGCAAGACAGAGTTTGAGTTTAGCTAAGTAAAGAGAAATACATAAAGGCATCGACACGACGACAGCCGTTCAGTTGATATAAACAGCAAGGTAGACAGAGCTTTCGTTTCTCATATTATTACGAGGTTTACGGCACTTGCAACACAATAAGGTCATACATGTAAGTGCCGAAGATTAGAGGTGTTTCAAGAGTTTTGCAAAGAGAAATATTTTGATACAACTACATTTTTTTAGTGCAAGAAAAACCAAGACACCCACAATTTGGGTTTGAGTAGAGTGAAGTACAGGGTGTCTAAAAGAAGAGGACAACAACTCGGTCATCAGTACACTAATTTTAACAAAGTTTTGGACAAATAAAATTCAACCAAGGGGACATCAAGTTTCTAAATGTGAAGAAAATCCAATACCGCCTTAAGAATATCAAATAAAAAAAAATTCAACCAAAATTGGGTAAAACGCAACAATTCACAACTTAAAAGCGTTCAGTCACAGGAGCGTGATCGACCCGTTCTGGCTTCATGAAAAAGATAATAAAACCACGACAGTCACACCAGAGAGATATTTCACCGTGCTGAGAATGTTGTGGAGAAGTTTGGGAAGGAAAAGGTGCTATGTTGCAGGGGACTGGTTCCCTGTGATGGGACCATACCCCAGATGTCTAAAGTGGCCCTTGTGTATTGCAAGCAAGAAAGGTTTGGGGTAAGCCTTATAACGGCAGAATGAACTTTTGAAAAAAGGAAGCAGAACTGGCCAGTAACTCTCTTAAGCAACCGCACAACCAACCTTTTGTCAAAACTGCTTACCTTCTCTCCAGCCTCTATCCTAAGGGAGATTCCCTTGATGACGAGGTCCAGGCCCTCCCTGTAGCGGACGCTGTAATTGCTGAACTCCACCACTCCGTGGGGAGGCCAGCTGGGCATGGGACGCTTGGTGTTCACGATCCAGTCAGACTGGGGGG